TTTGGTTTATTGTTAGGACACCTGAACAGTGTCTGCATTTGACTGGGTGCAGACGTTGTTCAACCAATAATTTTACACCCGACTCCTTTGATTTTTCATAGGATGTTGGATGAAATAGTGCCAAGGCCACCCACTGATAGAAATGAGCCAATTCATTTGGAACCGGATAAAATCTGTTCAGTGGCTTTTTTGCAGGACACAGCACAGAATATTTTTTACTACAAAAATGATCCTCTGAGGCAAAAAGGGTTTTTATTTCACATATGATTTCCTTGTAATGTGAATTTGATCTCACTTACTGCAAAATGTTCTAAAATTATGAATAACTGTAGTCGTTTAAATTTCCTGCTTTACCAATGTTTTTGTATTTGGGCTGAACGAAGCTGTCAAATGCCTTAAGAATGAAATGAAGATGTTATTGTTATATCAAAGATTTCCTCTCTGCCCGCCTGCCTGCAACCATGTAATGAGCTCTCCAGTTCAGAAATAAGGTTTGGAGGCTGGTATTAAAACTCCCCCTGCTGTGCTAGAGCTGATTAATTCTGTTCTCATCAACAGCTGCTCGCCTTCATCTCCTATGTATAGCTCACTTAAAAAGTGTGAAGACGCTGTAACCAGTTCAAAATCTGTAATTCTGTAATTTTTTTTAAAGTTTATTGTTTAAAGGAAAACTCTCATGTATTTTATAAACAGAAGTCACCTAAAGTCTGAGAGTTCTCATGCACTGTTTCCCTACTACTTAGAATGCCTAAGAGCCTGGGTTGATGAGCTTTTGTTCGTGCAGAACAGGTTTTGAATACCAGTAAAAGTCTATGGGTATCCAAAACCTGTTTTGAAACAGGTCAGCAGGTGGCTAACCACAGGTCAAATGCACCTCCCATATGGAAGAAAAATATATTTGAATGTATATTTTAAAAATATTCTTCCCAAATATATTGACGTATATTTGAAATGCTACAATTTTGGCCATATTCAATATATTTCAAAACATACTTAAAAAATAAATAAATAAATATATATATATATATATATATATATATATATATATATATATACTGCATGTTGAAATGCGTTTTTATTACAAAATATATGAAAAATATTTTTAAAAATACATTTCAGATATACTGTCTTTAAAAATACAAATCTACATTTTTGGAATGCATTTACAAATATATGTAAAATTATATGTTAAAATGAATGAATTTTTTGTATGTTAAAAAAAAATCTGAAGAATATATTTTAAAAATATATATTTTTAAAAATATATATATTTTAAATATATTCTTCAGATTTTTTTTAACATATAATATATATATGAATAAATATATTTTGAAATATTTTGAATATGGCCAAAATTGTAGCATTTCAAATATATGTTAATATATTTGGGAAGAATATTTTTAACATATATTTCAAATATATTTTTCTTCCCTGTGGACTGCCAATGAAGTTTGAACGGTCTCAGAAGCCTGTCAAACTGATGCCCTACAGACAATCCCAAAACCTGACCTTAGGAGGAATTCAAATGCAGCTTGTCATTAAGCTTACCTTCTTTATAATGGCCCATGTCCCTTGCACAGGATCTCGATTGGCCAGCTCAGTTATCTGGTACTCAGGCAGTTTACATGATGAAGAAGACTGCAAGCTCAGGATGAGGTAGGTGTATTTGTCACAGAAAGACATTGCATGTGTCTTCTGCCATAATAGCCTGCCTGCTCACAGTCTATTAAGAAGACTGCAAAGCAGAACTTCACGTAAAAATTGCATGTGAAATATATAATACATTTTCCTATCTATGTACTAATGCAAGCAGCAAAAGGATTAAAGATAGCCAATGTTGATTGAGAGAGTGAAATTTCCGCATTAAGCACTTTCCTATTTTAAACGCATTTGACCATAGTAGCAGTAAGAGATAACATTGATTTGAAGGATGGATTTCCCTGTTAGTGTTGTTTTTCATATAACATTTTATTATAGGAATTAAGTTGTGGCAAGCCATTATGGCTCTGCAGCTTTGTTATTTTGCTCTACAGCCATATTTCTGGTCAATTCCTCTCCTGAGTCAGTCAAAATCGAAACTGTAAAGAAAAACCATTAAACCACTGTGCAATTATGGCTCTTTCACTTTCTTCTTAGTAAACTGTTAACTGTTGGATTAGACCTGTAACATCAATGTATATATAAGGATCAGACAAATTCACACAGAAAGTAGGAGCCTCTCAGTCCAATCTGGGTCCAAGTAGGGACATCATCGAATGCTTCAAATGATTAAAAGAAAACTCAAAAAAGTCAGCCAGTAGCTAGAATTTTCAGGTTCATTGAGACCACAGAGGCAGAGTTCCTTTGTAACACTATCTAGCTCAGTGTTTCTCAACCTTTTTCAAGTCAAGGCACCCTTTAAAATTATGAATAATCTCAAGGCACCCTTTAAAATTCTGCCCAATCTCAAGGCACCCCAATCTAAAATGTAAAAAACTATTTTACACACATATAGTACGCCCTACATTAGAGGTGATTTATTCTTCCAAAGCAAATACACCTTTGCACACTGGTACCAACTACTATTCCAGTGTGTCTCTCTCATTTTCTCTCCCTCACTCTGCTAATGTGATCCCAGTGCTGATGAAGAGGGGCAAGGGAGGGCCAAACAAATATGATGTGCATGCACCCGACGTCCTCCTTATCAACTGATGATATCATTGGTTGTTAGGATGCTGGCAGCTAGAAGGTCATATAAGTGCACAATGAAAACCTATGGCTTTGTGTACTAAAAGGCAGGATTAATCCACCTGCTGACTTGTATACAGTTTTCGGGCATTTTGCCAAGGCACCCCTGAAGAAGCCTGAAGGCACCCCAAGGTGCCTGGGCACCCTGGTTGAGAAAGGCTGATCTAGCTTTGTCAGTGCCCATCTATAGTGGTGAGGATTGAGGCTGGAAATGGGAATGATGAGGAGCGCATAACAGAGCAAGTGTCCAGTGAAACATTGTTGCAACCACTGACAAAGATGATTATGCTCTGGGAAAATGTAATATTGGTGGGGGCATCACTGATGGATTAACCAAGTGGATCCCACAATTTATTGGAAGAGATTGTTTGAAAACTTGCTCTGGCCAGACTAATCACTCTTTAAAAATTAGGGGAAGAAGAATATGGGCAAAGTAAAAGTTAGCAACCCATAACAAGATGAAATAAAAGACATGTGTATAACACATAGGTAAAGATGAGAAAAAGAACTTGCCATGTGATTAATTTTAAGCACTGCTGAGATGTTGAGCGCTCTCCCAGTTAGCCAGGGGGAGCTAGCTAATTATTTTTCTAGTTAGAAGGCTGAGTAGCAGTCAGGGAGATAGTCAATGTGGTCAAATCTGGGTCAGGGCTGAGAGGCTCTCCAGATCAGTTCCCTAATACCTCCCCCTGATCAAGAGACTTGGAGAAGTCTCTAGAACTCAGTGGGTGGGGGTGAGGAGGAGCTAGTCTTCACTCTTAAGGGACCCTGACCAATCCGCAGGCAAGAGACTTGGCATGGGTTCAGGACAACCCTTAAATGCCTGCTCAGTAGCAGGAGAGTTTGGGTGGAAAATAGAGTGAACAGGATGGAGTGAGGAGCCTGGGAGGGAGTCCAGGAGAGGAGCCTACTTACAGGCAGAGGAGCTGGAAGGGAGGATCTCTCAGCCTCAACCATCCCCTGAGAGAGGACTGTGACGGGCGCGGCATCAGACCCCCAGCCCTTCTCACTAATTCATGACCGAAAAACTAGCCAATCTAAAACTGCGCTGTCACATGCGTAACAATGCCACGCTCAGCTGCACCCTGCACAAATATTTTCCAGCTAACGGACCACAATCTATGTACCGCAGCCTGAGAGCAATTGTTACTGGGTCAGGTTAATTACGCAATTAACCCTTCACACTGCCACCACCACCTTTTTGTACAGAGTAGGAGGAAACTCGCCAATCTTAGCAGTAACACTATGATGTTTGAATAAGTGTCTGTATACACACTGTCACCGCAGGCAGATGTATGCAGAAGTTTAAAAACACACAGTATCTCTCTTCAGAGACAGGGATTCTTAGTTTGCATTAAAGAGCTTTAGCAACAGTTCAACACTTTTCAGATAATAGGATGTATTACTAAAAAGGTCAAAATGGTGCAATAAAAATATTTACAGAAAAAGAAGTAGCCAATATATATAAATACAGAGAGCAATACCACAACAGAGAGATAACAGAAAAAAGTTTAGAGAGGTAGAATACTTGCCGTCAGCCTTGGTTTAAGCAGATCAAGGTCCTGAACAAAAGGGTGGTAATATACCACCACAAGTTCCAGGATTAGTATTTATCCTGGGGGTTTTAAGGTGTAGGGAGGGAGGGAGTGGGGAGGGTTGGGAGAAGTCAGATAGGGGGGTTTGATAAAGGTCACCTGGAAGACTGGTTCCTGTTCCAAATCATATACACCTGCTTCCCTTTAATTTGGTATTTAGATGGAGGAGAAAGTCAGTAATAGAAATGAGTGTGAGTAATTTTTGACTTATAATGTGAAAGGTCTGAATACCCCAACTAAAAGGCATACGATACTAAGGGAAATCCATCAATACTCCATTGATGTAGTGTTTTTGCAAGAGACATATTTATCACAGGATACAAATGTTAAATTGTATTCTAAACACTACCCAATGTGGTATTATGCGGATTCACCAATTAAACATGCAAAAGGGGTTGCAATCGGGTTGTCAAAAAATTAAAAAATTACTATGGAAGATAGATTAGTTGATCCAAAAGGTTGCTTTCTTTTTTCTGAAAGGAAAATTACAAGGAATGCAATGCACATTAGCAAACATATACTGCCCTAATAAAAACTCATTGACATACTTAGAGAGTCTGTGTCAAGGTATATGACCAGAGGTGTGTGACTGAAGCAGGGAAACGCAGACTTCAGATATGTGATTAACAATGTAATTTATTAACACTAACAATACAAACATAAACGCAGTGCAATACTAAACATAATACAGTGCAAACAAACCCAACCAACCATCCACAGATAACAGTACATACAAGCAAGCGTCGTCAGGCAGGCCGAGTCAATATCAATTTGGCAGGTAGGTACAGGGGGAGCAAGCGGAGAATGGTCGGGGTCACAGGCCAGGTTCAGCAGGTAGCAAGCAGCGTAGTACAGAGGGTCAGGCAGAGGGATGGTCAGGGTCACAAGCCAGGGATCAGAACAGGTAGCAAGCAGCGTAGTACAGAGGGTCAGGCAGAGGGATGGTCAGGGTCACAAGCCAGGGATCAGAACAGGTAGCAAAGGAACAGAAACAGGATGCAGGACAGATACAGGGCCCAGGACAAACACAACACCAAGGCAGAGTCTGCAAGTCTGGCCATCCCTTAAATACACCAGTATCATCAGTTCCAGGTGTTAGCTGGCTGAAAGGTTGAGTCTCTGATTGCTGGGAGCACCCGCTGGCCAGCCCTGGTACTGCAGATCAAAAGGCAGGTGAGTCCCACCATTGCTGGCCAGTCCATTCCTGACAGTCTGTTAAGAAAACTCCTAAATTTTAAGAAGGGTTACTTGATTGTAGAAGGAGACTTCAATTTTTTGTATGGATCCTTCGATGGATGCTTCATCGTGCGTGTGGAGAGGAGGTAAAAAATTTGAAGTTGGTTACGAAAATGCTACATCAGTGTCAATTGATGGACTCATGGAGAATCAAGCATCCAAGAGATAGAGACTATACCTTTTTCTCTCCGGCGCATGGGATGTGCTCAAGATTGGATTACATAATGATAGAACATAGACTTTTAGAGTCTGGTAAAGTCTAAAATTGCGGTAATGTGTTTATCAGACCATGCACCTGTTATATCAAGATTAAGGTTGGAAGGAGAACGGAGTGGAAGTAGTATGTGGAGATTACATGAGGAGCTTATACAGGATGTTGAGATGGAAAAAAGAATAAAGAGGGAAATAGAGGAATACTTTACATTCTATGAGATAGAAGAGATCTCCGTTGCTACTATTTGGGAAGCACACAAAACTTATATTAGGGGAATCCTGATCTCAATGTGGGCTGAAAAAAAGAGAGAACGGGGAAAGAAAAAGAATGTATTAATTGAGGAACTCTATAACTTAGAACAACAACCTAAGGAGAAAATAAAAACAGAGACACGACAGAAGATAAACCAGAAAAGGGAAGAGTTAAAAGAGTTGATGGAACATGAGACGAGTAGAGTTTTTAACATGGTTGCAAAAGAGAGATATTAGTGGGGGAATAGACCAGGAAATATCTAATGAGAAAATTGAGGGAAAAGAAATCAAGAAATTATATAGAGAAAATCAAAGATAAGAATGGAGAAATGGTTCATTCAACCACTGATATCACTATAATGTTCCAACAATGCTATAATAATCTATATGAAATTAAAGCTAAAAACCTGAAAGAGTAAGAGGAAGATAAAAAGGGAAAAATACAGACGTATTTAAAAAGAGGCCGGACTACCTAGATTAGAGGAAGGGAGATCAATAGTTTTGAGTAAATCTATTACGCAGGAGTAAATTTATACAGCTCTTAAAAGTACAGCAGTAGGGAGAAGCCCAGAACCAGATGGATATACATTGAGACATTATAGGAAATTTAAGGAACTACTTGTGCCCAAGATGTGTACATACATGAGCACTTTTGGAGAGGGAATGCTAATGAGAGAGGAGCCATTGCAGGCATATATTACAATTTTACCGAAAGAAGAAGGGAAAGATCTGTCCCAATGTGCTAATTATAGACCTATATCGCTATTAAATATAGATAGAAAAAATTATATGCAAAGGTCCTAGCAAATAGAATGAAGGAGTTGATGGCAGAATGGATTAATTTAGATCAGGTGGGTTTTATCCCGGGGAGAGAGGGAAGGGATAATAGTGTCAGGGATGCGGGTGTGACCAGAAGTGTGTGGACTGACACAGGGAAACACAAGCTTCAGATATGGTATAAATAAGACAATTTATTAAAGACTAACAATATAAACATAAACGCAGTGCACCAAACCCCAAGCTAACACAAATACATACAACAAGGTGAAACAAACCCAAACCTAAACTGGTATAGATACACAGGTACATACACATATAGAGCACAACGTAATCAGGCAGGCCGGGTCGATAACTATCGGGCAGGTAGGTACAGGAGGAGCAGGCGGAGAGAATGGTCAGGGTCACAAGCCAAGGATCAAAACAGGAGAAGTCAGCAGAGGTCAGGATCAGGCAGGGTCAGCAACAAGTCAGGCAGAAACAGCAACAGGAACGCAGGTTACAAGATACAGGGGCCCATGGAAAAACACACACCAAGGCACAGACTGCAGGTCTGGCCATCCCTTAAATACACCTGCAATCAGCCCCAGGTGATGGCTAATTGCCGAAGTGAACCTCTGGTTGTTGAGAGCACCCACTGGCCAGCCCTGGTACTGCCGCCCACAAGGCAGGTGAGTCCCACCACTATTGGCAAGTCCATTCCTGACAAATAGACTCAGATCATTATTGCTTTTCCAAAAAAGTAAGAGAGAAAATCACCTGGTGATTGTTCTATCAATCGATATGGAGAAACCTTTTGATAGGGTAGATTGGGGATTTATGTTCGATACATAGGAAGTTTTGGGCATTGGACCTAAGGTGATGCACTGGATTAAAACATTTTATAGCTCCCCAACAGCGGCTCATTGTCAGAGTTCTTTTACAATGTCCATGGAATTAGACAGGGATGTCCACTCCCTCCCTTACTTTTTGTTATATCATTGGAACTGTTATTGGCGACTGTACGAAGGAATACAGACGTAAAAGAAATTCTGATAGGGGTTGTGGAGCATAAGGTAGCGGTGTATGCTGATAACATACTATTTTACATAGTGAATCCTAGAGTAACTCTACCCAATTTAATAAAAATTCTAAAATACTATGGAGAACTATAAAATTTGAAAATCAACCCTTCAAAGTTAGAGATAATAAATATCAATGTTTCGAAGACAGAAAAACAGATATTGCGGAAAGCCTTTCCCTTTGTATGGAGGGAGAAGGATTTGAGTTATTTTGGTGTAAAATTAACCCCCTTTGTTAAGAATATTTATCAGACAAATTCCATTCCATTAATAAATGAGCTGAAGGATGATCTGAGGAAAATATCCACTGGATCAATCTCTTGGATTGGCCGTATAAATTTGGTAAAAATGATAATAGTCCCAAAGGTCCTGTATAAATTCCATATGCTTCCAATATATTTACCGTGGTCATTCTTAGAGACAATAAAAAAGATATCTAAGTACATATGGGCAAATAAAAGACCAAGAGTTAGTTATGAGGTGTAGGGACAAAACTAATGGAGGTCTAAACGTACCGGATTTCAAGAGATATTATTACGCGGTGCTGCTTTCACGAATAGCAAATTGGATTTATATTTAACAGGGGAAAAGCTGCGTAATGATGGAAAGTACACTTAGTGGGTCACAGTTAGACAAGATTATTTGGCTTCCACAACAGTTAAGAAAATTATCGGACGATACAAGCACTTTAACACATAATGTTTTTAGGATATGGGATAGAATTCATGCACAAAGGCGGTGGAAATAGAATTCACTGTTAATACTGTTGTGGGGAACAGATTTCTTCCCCCCTGGGAATGAAACAAATTGCAGGTAATTGGATAAAAGATAGAAATGCACGTTTAAAAGATATCACTGATAAAGGGAAATTATGCACCTTTATAGAATTGAAAAATAAGAAGGAAATATTTTGTGTGTTAGACAAGTGGCGTTACTATCAACTAAGACACTTTGTCACAGCTCTCCCACAGCCACTGAGGGTGATGGAGGACATGTATCCATTTGAACAACTTTTTAGTGCGGACATAATGCGAAGGCAAGTGAACTCACGCATATATAAGATTCTTACTGCTATGTCTGGAACTGTCTCTCCATCGTTCTTAGAAAAGTGGCAAAATTAATTAAGAATATAATTAAATGATCAAGAAAAAAAGAGCATATTTAATTTAATTTAATTTAATGCATGGTGCAGTGGATATGAACACAATAGAATTGAATTATAAATGTTTGGTTAGGTGGTATGTTACACCTGGTGTGGTACATAACACTGTTCAACAGGTAAAAAGTTTTGGGCATAAAATTAGCTAATCTTACATAATTTTGGGGTGCTGAAAATGAAAATGACCCTAAAAAATGTTGATTGGCTCTAGTTTCCATGATATATTCACCCATCTAATGACGTAAGCCATTCAAAATTATGATGCAACTTCAGCTGCATATTACGCAATTGATACTGGTGACCAATAGAAAATTGCATGTATACTGAGATGATGCAATATTAGCCTTTAATTGCATCACTTCACTGCATAAAAGCTGCAGTATCTGTAGCTGATTGTAGTTCGACAGTGTCTTTACATTTCGTTTTATGCTTATATAGGCTACTCAGTAATGCCTCGAACTTGTGTGAATAAAGCAGATAATTTCTGCTATATCTGCGGTGAAATAACTTTTATCTCACAAAAAAGGAGGATAACAGGAATGATTAAGAAAGCCTACAACTTGTATTTTGGCTGCAAGATAGGAGACCAGGACAAGAGCTGGGCACCACATATATACTGCAATTCTTGTGGGACGGCACTGGAGCAATGGTTGAATGGAAAAAAGGCATCTATGCCTTTCGCTGTGCCAATGATTTGGAGAGAGCCAACAGATCATGTTAGTAATTGTTACTTTTGTATGGTGCCTCCAATTGTAAAAGGGCTAAATAAGAAGAAAAAGTTATCTGTGCACTATCCAAATATTCCATCGGCAATACGTCCAGTTCCTCATGGAGAGGGGCTACCAATTCCTAAAGCACCAGAATCCTTCGTGGTTGAGTCAAGTGAGGAAGAACCTGAAGCGTGTAGTCACGTGCAGTTGTAAGAGATAGCCCTTTCCTCGAATACAAGAGAAAAGCCAAGAGAAGCAAAACCGACACAAACTGAAGACAAAACTAGTGAGAATCCTAAGTATTAAAATGATTCAACTTAGCTTATGGCTATAATTTTTCTTGGTAATCCTATGCAATATATTATGCCATTTAGGCTTTGTTATGTAGTCAATATCACTTGCTTTATATTTGTGGAAAGACATCTATCTGTATAATTATTGTGCATTATGTAGTCATTACGCCTATAGTAGAAAACTTTCCGTTTACAGAAAAACTAGAGCCAATTGACAAATTTCATTGTTATATTTGAACTCAGAATGTGAAATTCATTAAGAAATGGATCCTTTTGTTTCCAAAACTGTCAAAAAATAAAAATTTGTTGAACAGTGATAATCAACGAATAGAGAATTCACCTTTATGTTGGAGGGGATGTGGAAAGAAAGGAACAATGGCACATATATGGTGGGATTGCCCTAAAATACAGCAATTTTGGCAGGGAATAATACAACATATAAGGGAAATAACGGGGATTAGTGTACTGAAGGATCCCTGGGTCTGTTTGTTTCACAATACTAAACTCACGGAGAAACAATATAAGAGCTCAATAATATTTTATTTAATTATTGTGGCAAAAGGACAGATTCCTAGGTTCTGGCAAGCCCAGGAAGCCCCAAAAATTATGGATTGGATTAATAGAAGAGAGTTTATATATAGAATGGAGGAGCTGTATTATAGAGGAGAGGCTAAAATTGAAAAATGTAAGAAAATTTGGACAGATGGACAGTATTTAAAACATCCAGGAGATATTCAGAATTGACAAAGGGGCAAGATAGGGCTCAGATAGGATAAGAAAGATGATCTCTGGTGAGGATAGGGAGAGAAGAAGAGGTTAGGAATAGAAAACCAGAACAGGAAGAAAGGGGTTTAGCATAGGAGGTGACCAAATAGGGGTTGGGTGAAGGGGAAGTGTATATGTATAAAAAAAAAAAAATTTGATATGGAGACAGTATGATTTTAATGTATGGAGAATTGTTGTACTTATTTTGATTATGAAAATTTATAAAAATAAAGTTAAAAAAAAAAGCATGGTGAGGCTGGCAGCAGAGCGACTGCTTCTTCAGGGAATTGAATTCTTCTACACTCACCCGCCACATCACTGTCCATTATACCCTGCTGTGTGCCCTGTACCTTGTTGTGTGCCGTATACCCTGCTGTGCCCTATACCCTGTTGTGTACCCTGTACCCTGCTGTGTGCCCTGTACCCTGCTGTGTACCCTGTACCTGCTGTGCCCTATACCCTGCTGTGTACCCAGTATCCTGCTGTTTACCCTGCTGTGTGCCCCTTACCCTGCTGAGTGCCCTATACCCTACTGTGTATCCTGCTGTGTACCCTGCTGAGTGCCCTATACGTTACTGTTTATCCTGCTGTGTACCCTGTGCCCTGCTGTGTACCCTGTACCTTGCTGAGTGCCCTATACCCTATTGTGTATCCTGCTGTGTACCCTGTGCCCTGCTGTGTACCCTGTTCCCTGCTGTGTACCTTGCTGTGTGCCCTGTACCCTGCTATGTACCCTGTACCTTTCTGTGTACGCTGCTGTGTTTCCCATGCCCTGCTGTGTACCTTGCTGTGTGCTCCGTGCCCTGCTGTGTACCCTGTACCCTGCTGTGTGCCCCGTGCTCTGCTAAGTACTCTCTACCTTGCTGTGTGCCACGTGCCCTGTTGTGTACCCTGCTGTGTGTCCTGTTGTGCTCTGTACCCTGCTGTGTGCCTTTCTGTGTGTCCTGTACCCTGCTCTGTGCCCTTCTGTGTGTCCTATACCCTGCTGTGTGCCCTGTACCCTACTTTGTGTCCTCTAGTGCTCTGTACCCTGCTGTGTGTCCTGTACCCTGCCGTGTGCCCAGTACCCTGCTGTGTGTCCTGCATCCTGCTGTGTATCCTGTATTCTGCTGTGTGCCCTGTATCCTGTTGTGTATCCAGCTGTGTGCCCTGTACCATGCTGTGTGCCCTGTAACCTGCTGTGTGTCCTGCATCCTGCTGTGTATCCTGTATTCTGCCGTGTGCCCTGTATCCTGCTGTGTATCCAGCTGTGTGCCCTGTACCATGCTGCATGCCCTATACCCTGCTGTGTTCACTGTATTCTGCTGTGTATCCTGTTTTCTGCTGTGTGCCCTGTATCCTGCTGTGTATCCAGCTGGGTGCCCTGTACCATTATCAGTGAGGCTGGGTCATTTCATGAGATAATTTACAAGGGCATGTTTTGGGTTTGAATTAGCGGTGGGGCAGGGTAGGGGTTGGGTGGGGTGTCTGATAGTGAGTAACTCTTAAGGCCTGGCTAGTAGCTCACTAGCTAGTAGCTAGAAATTTGGAGCCCTGCTATACATAATATATATTAACTACCTGCCGACTGCAGATAGCCGAATGACGGCTGCACTGCGGCCGGCCAGTTCTGGGTGGACGTCATATGACGTCCTCCCAGAACGCGCTCTCCTGCGCGCCCCAGGGGGCGCGCACCCGGCGATCTCCGTGATCGCTGTGTCCTACGGACACAGCTGATCACGTGATGTGGTAAAAGGCCAATCACAGCGGCCTTTTACCACGTGATCAGCGGTGTCCAATGACACGCTGATCAGAGGAAAATGCAAGTGCCGGTTCTCGGCTGCACTTTCCTCACGCTCTCAGATTGTGAGGAAAGTACTGCCGAGAACCGGCAGTTGTCAGAGCGGGGATCGGCACCGATCATCAGGGCACTGATGATCAGTGCCCTGATGATCGGTGCCCAGCAGTGCCACCCGCAAGCTCCTCCGCCCACCTGTGCCCAGCAGTGCGCCCACTAGCTCCGCCCACCTGTGCCCAGCAGTGCACCCACCTGTGCCCAGCAGTGCACCCACCTGTGCCACTCTGCAGTGTCACCCACCTGTGCCCAGAAGTGCCACCCACCTGTGCCCAGCAGTGCCACCCACCTGTGCCCACCCACCTGTGCCCACCTGTGCCCACCCACCTGTGCCCACCCACCTGTGCCCACCCACCAGTGCCACCCACCAGTGCCACCCACCAGTGCCACCCACCAGTGCTGCCAGTCAGTGCCACCAGTCAGTGCCCAGGGGTTGTGCCAGTCAGTGCCGCCAGTCAGTGCCCAGCAGTGATGCCAGTCAGTGCCGTCTATCAGTACCCATCATCAGTGTCACCTATCAGTGCCGCCTATCAGTGCTGCATATTAGTGCCGCCTATCCGTGACACCTCATTAGTGCTGTCTATCAGTGCCGCCTATCCGTGCCACCTCATTAGTACTGCCTATCAGTGCCCTTTAGTGCTGCCTATCAGTGCCCATCAGTGCCGCCTATCAGTGCCCATCAGTGCTGCCTCATCAACGCACATTAGTGAAGGAGAAAAATTACCTGTTTGAAAAATTTTATAATAGAAACAAAGAAACTTTTTTTTTTTCAAATTTTTTGCACTTTTTGTATTTATAGCGCAAAAAGTAAAGCGTCCAGTGGCGATTAAATACCACCAAAAGAAAGCTCTATTTGTGAGAAAATAATTATCAAAATTTCATATGGGTACAATGTTGCATGACCGCGCAATTGTCAATCAAAGTGCGGCAGTGCTGAAAGCTGAAAATTGGCCTGATAAGGAAGGGGGTATAAGTGCCTGGTAGGCAAGTGGTTAACTAACATATATTTTGTATAACTTTTACATAGGCACAGTTTAGAGAAGAGACTACTGTTAATGTGGAACTGTGCATCTAGTGTCAAGCCTGCCCTCTTCTAAATAAGGATGCACACAGGATGTGGACATCAAGGATTGTGGAAGGTGTAGCTCTGACAGATTGAGACAGCTAGAAAAAAGGAGACTGCAAATCCCAAAAGGCACTTGGGCAAAGAGGAGAGGTGGTTCCCTGCTTTCCATGTCTGGGGGGAGAAAGTGTACAGGCTTTTCTGAGAGGACTGAATGTCCAATACTTGATCAAACGTGGAAGGGCAAAGATTTGCTGTGGTTCACCTAGTATACAGGGGGAGACCATCTGCTTACACAAAACGTTGGTGAGAGGTCGCTGGCCTAATCCTCAATACACTTTGACAAAAGAGAGACAGTGTTGTCTGCAAGTAACGCAGAGTCTTTGCCTGTATCAGTTCTTAAAGGAACAGTAACCTGAGCACTCCAACGTAAGAGTTGGGTCCCAACGAGCTGGCCAGATGTCACAAGTTAACCTGCAGTTTCTTGCTTGTGCATTCTTACCTCTTTTTCCTCCCCTGATTCCTTTCACGCATGGTTTGGCTGTGCTCACCTATGGGCGTTACCTGCTGATCTGCGGGCTCTCCAGAAGACTGGCCGTTCTAGACAGATGGGGCGGAGCAGGAAGTGAAGTCAGAAGCCAGAGCCGGGGTCAATCACAGAGCATCAATCAGAAGTAAACACAAGAGCGAAGTCAGGGGCAGGCCAGGGTCATGCACAAGTCATCAATCAGGAATAGGCAGAAGCAGATCCAAGGAACTAGCTGGGATAAGAGCCAGGAGAGAAGCCAAAGCAGGTCAGGGTCAAGCCGGGTCGGTAACGGATAATCAGCAGGGTAATTCGCACAGGAAAAGGAGGCTGATGATAATCCAGCAATTATTGTGAGGGGCTGCAGTCCTTATAAAGGCCACTGGGCGCCAACAACTGGACATAGAGGCGTGACTGCATGCCGTGCACCTATGTTCATGCTCACATTTTTTGCTTAAATTAGCGCTGTAATATTTGGCATTGGCGCATATGCCAGGACTTCCTCATTTTCTTCCCTGACAGCTTGCCTATATGAGACATGCTCAGTCTAGCCCACATTGCCTGAGCAGCTTCACAGTTCGCTGAACCCCTGTTCATTGTTACTTGTGTATCCTGTGCCTGGCCACCCATGTACTGACCCTGGCTTCATTCACCATCTGAGCCTGTTTACTACCTGTCCTGACCTTGGCTTGTCTCCTGGACTTCCTTTTGTCTCCTGCTGGTTGTACTCTACACATGTGAGTGGTCTCCGCATCTTCAGCTGGGTGTACCTGGGGGTTGCGACCTGGTTCCAGCTTGCAGCAAGTCCATCCCCACCATCAGGGCCTCTAGTGAATAAGCAAGCTGGAGCTTAGACTCTGCGCCCTGGGGAACCCAGAGTTGGCGATCTACAAGGGCTCACTACCACAGACGCTTGACACCAGAAGAAGGGGGAATGATATTATAGGCTGCTGGACTGTCAAGGTGGTGTAGCACTCCCTGTTTAGGACTGCCCCCCAGTATACAGTTTAACAGGAGTCACTCTCTACCTCAATTGTTTGTTTAGAGTATCTTCTTTTTCTACAAAATCTGACTTTACTGCCACTTAAAGTGGAACTATAGTCAGAACATTAAGTCCTGCTAGATCACTTCAGGCTGGCCCCTTTTGCAGGTGTATCTATGTAAAACTTTATAATAAGTGCCTATACTGTTTAAAATCCAGTAATACACTATTTCACCCTGCTCTGCACATGCTCATTTGCTGTCTATTTTTTGGCACTGTGCCAAAAATGTAGAGGCCGATCTGCTGACGGCCTAAAGATTTTCTGCTGCTCAGGGGCTCTGGACTTCAGCAAAATGGCAGCCTTCGGCAAGAAGAAACTTTAACAATGCTGGAGGCAATTTACAGCACACACTAATTTTGGTAGCATAATTAATAATAAGAATGTATGTTCGTTGCTAAATTATTTTTTATTAAGTTGTTATGGGTAAAGCTCCATATTTTCATTCTCAACCCCAGTGAGCAGGTAGTCACATCCATAGTCTAGCCATTAGATTCTTTAGTGTCAGCATATCTATATATGTGGACAAGTAAATTAAAGTGTCTGTAAACCCTTACATATACACAGTGAAGTCACTAGCCTCACGTGATACACGGAGATGAAACAAATCCTCCTACATACGTTGTACCTGTCTATTTGCAGCCTTCTCTTCTCTACATCCATTTAAACTGTTGAATTTATAAAGCTTGACTGACAGTTCAAAAAAAGGGATCAGAGAGCTGAAGTTACACTCTGCAGAGGAGAGCTCTGAGAGCTGATTGGAGAGAAGGGACATCCCCCTTTCCCACAGAGCTCACAGGAACAGTGCTGAGGCTGTCAGTCTGCTGGAGGTCACCAATTTTCTCTTGGTGTCAAGAAAACTTGTCAGCAGGGATTCATTCTGATAGTAGAGGAACTAATCAGCAGAACAAAGTGTTCCTAATTGTGACAAGTACACACTATAGAGGGATATGCTTTGTTCATATTTCATGTCTGAGGTTTACAACCACTTTAACCTCCCTGGCGGTATGATTATTTCAGATCAGATTTTTGGTGCTGAAAGCGGTACTTTTTGCATGGAAATATGTATTTTTTTTATTGTAGGCTGTAATTTTTAGGAAAAACTCACTGAAATCTGTCCGAACAAGAGTCTAGTAAACATCCCGGGTATGATAAAATTTGAAACACAAAATCATAAATTATAATTTAATAAATAATCATAAAAATAATATAAAAATAATAAAAAATTTAATTCAATAATATAATCAAACCAAAAACACTGAAATGTGAAATAGAGCGCCAAGTTCGCACATTGCTGAGCTCAGTCGCAAAATCGTTTTCAGTTTCTGATGACGAATTTCCCCCACGAATCATTATCACTCAATTCTGTAAGTGGTTCTGATTTACTATCGCTGTTCTCTAGCTGATCTAAACCGCTTTTGACCTAAAGGGACACTTTTTGGACGCCATGGACATTTCTCAGTTTCCAGGCAGAAAGAACAGACAAAATGCAGGCAGGGTGCAGGACAAAGCACTAGGGACAATATGTATGTGAAATAGGTTGAAACAGCAATGTTTTACTGTGTAAAATGAAAAAAAAAAAATGACATTTTTTTAAAATTTTTAAATTTCCCGGCGGCGGCGGCGCCCGTACGTCCCGACGTCACAGGGACAGGACACAGAAGCTGGATGCCGGCATCGGCCGGAGGAGATGGCCGGGGACGCTGCAGGGGACACATCGTGGGAGCGCAGGGTAAGGTAAGTGAAGAACACATTACGGAGCAGCGCCGCATGGTATTCCCGAGTGTAGCTCGGGGTTACCGCTTTTGGTACTGAAATGTTACCCCGAGCTACACTCGGGAATACCGCCAAGGAGGTTAAGTCAAAGTGGGCACCACGTATTATTGAATTTCTCCTTTGTCATGAGGGGTGGCTGTAAGATCTTCCATCTCCCTGATTTTGTTAATTTTATAAAACCATAAGGGCAAAGGTCAGGTAACAGTTTGTTTCCACAAAGCTAAAATGCATGCCAATGCTGCATTTAGCAGGTGGACTGTTAATGACATTTGTACATTTCAAAGGTATGTGGTTGATCTGAAGCATGAGACTAACTGGTTTCTGTATTAAGTCTACTGAATTCAATTGGAGGATTAAATTCTGGATTTGAGACCAAAATGGGTGGATTAGAGAGCAATTCCAAAAAATGTTTAGCACTATATCAGGATCCGTTTGGCGTCTCCAATAAGTGTTGGAGACTTGTGGGTAAATTTTGTTAAGTAGAGTCAGGACTAAATGTTTAAAACCCGGTTTTTGAAATCTGTTGGCTATGGATGATTTATGCGTGGGCTATATTGCTGCATCGATTTGCAAAGGAGTTAACGATGTTTGCAGTTCTTCTTCCCAATTTGCATATATACAGTACAGAGGGAAGTATCTTCACTGTAGCATCTAGAAGCTTAAATAGAGGAGGTAGCAAAATGGAGCACAAAGGAGTTGGCTCAGCATTGGGGTACAGGGTCTACAGAACTTGTTGTGCTCAGGAATAGCCCTCAAGAAGTACCTTAAGTGCCTTAAGCTGGCCATAGTTCTAAAGAAAATTCTTAGGAAAAGTTATA